CGGCTGGGTAATGCAAACCATATTTAATTTATCTTGTACCTTATTAACGCTTATTGGCTATTGCGTAGAGTGGAAATTTTTTACGTGCCAGCTTTTCATAACCTTTTTAATATATTTTATTTTATTAGAATTCTTCAGCGGCTGTTGATCTACGCATTCAGCTTTACCGATGGAGTGAGCTTTTTCGTCGAATGCAGCGTCTTGTCGTTCAGATCTACGACTGGGATCGACGTTGTCGGCGACAACTTATCTGGATTTCAAATGAAGATGAAGCAGTTTCAAGACAGGCTTGCCTATCAGAAGGTGCGTTGATCTTTACCCATTATTATCTAGGCCATCACTATAGTTACTGCCTATAATATTAGGGCTATCTGTTACATCTTTTATAGCCTAATAAGTTGAGTAAAAATGCTAATACGGATGGCGAATTTATATTTTTGTACAAGGTAACCATGTTCAAAATGTTGAAGTAGCGCTAACAATTTAACGATATGATTTCAGTTTATACCCCGACAATGATTGCTACGCCAAAATGTTTGTAAGGGGAAATATCATTTATAGACAGCAAGTTTACGAACCTTTAGAGCCTTCGATTTTAAGTAAAGTGACCTAGACTGATTGCTTTCTTCTTTACTTTTTTTTGTTCTGGGATGACAGTAGTTTAGACTCAATGAGGAGTTATAATTTCATAATGAAAAAGTATCCGATACTACCTTATCGACAAACATTGTTACTCCATCCTCCTAAGTGAAAAGTAAATGAATAAAACCCATTTTATCTAGTTTGTCTTCGAGGAAGGCGTCGTAGTAAGACAAACCAACGGACGGTTCAATAAAGCATTCCTTGTACTGATACTAGCTTGTACCATCAAGCTTCCCTACCTAAACCTAAGAATAGGCGGCAACTTTTACACATATATGAGTTAGAAGCCAAGGCTACTGTATAAGTAATCAAAATAGATGTCAGGGGCGAAAGCCGAAAATGAAGTAACATTGTTGTAAGCAACAATGATTTAGGGCCAAACTTATTTTTTATATTCTATTTTTTCCGCATCACAAATGTCTATTGAGCTACAGAAGAGATGTCCTGTTTATGTTTTATTGTTTATAAATTATATAGATAAACTATATATTTTGAATTTTGGGGGACTTTATATATTTTTTAAGGGAGATCTAAGAGATGACGAACTTAAGCACCTTCTAGACATCGTTACTCTATTTTTTACTAAGTTACTTAGATGAGATATGCGGTTCGCCGGAGTGACAGATTAACCAGTATATGGTGTGCACAATTGGGTCTATATTTGAGCTTTTAGCTAAGGGTTGCAACGGGATCCCT